TTTTTTTTTCGACGCATCTCATTGGACGGGAGGTGGGCATCTTTACAGTCCCCCCTCGGAAACTACCAGGCCGTCGAGATCGTCGAGATCCGATGTATTCGACGGCCGTACTGCGTCACTCGAGGCCACACGTGATCGAAATCCTGAACGGAGTGGTAGAATACTTCGCTAATGGGTCCAGGCCCCTGGGGCCGTAAAAAAAAAAGAGTGATGTCTGCAAAATGAACAAAGGATTTTTGCAACATGCATTCCCTCTGATGGGGGGCTGGAGGGAGACAACAAAGCTGTGTCGGCAGGGGTCCCTTTTTTTAAGACTCCTTAGGAGTAGTGGTAGGTGGGTAGGTAGGTAGGTAGGTAGGTAGGGGCGAGGTCCCACTAGCAAAGAGGATTGGATAAATCCCCTGAATCTGGACGTGTTTTAAGCAGAGAGATGCAGAAAAGCAGTTCAATCTCGATTTTCTGCACCTTTCCACCAAAAAGTCCAGATTCAGGTTTTCAATCCAATCCATGTTGCTAGTGGGACCTCGCCCTAGGTAGGAAGTGATGGTGAATTGAAAGAACAATTTGAAAGATGATGAAAGATGTGAGAGAAGAATATAGCGTAGTTTAAAAAAAAAAAAAAAAAAAAAAGAATAAGGATGTGTTTTTTTTTTGGGCTTGGTGAAAGAAAGACGGCGTGTCGAATGCCATAGCAATTTGTTTTGGCAGACTGCCTCGTCGCACGTATTGACATATCGGTCGCATTGTGACACGTTTACCGCGATCCAGATCGCGATCATCAGACAGACCTGCAGAGAAAAAGCTGCGACGACGGCGCTGTTCGAATACAACGAGGAGTCGAAAAGAGTGGGGGGAGTCACTGACTAGCTCCGATTGGCGTCGGGACATTGCAGGCTACCTCAGATTGGCGGGAAATTGCAGGGTACCTTCGATTGGCGGGAAATTGGAGGCTTACCTCCAATTGGCGGGAAAAATTGCTGGGTGGAACTGAAAAGCCATAATCATCCCGCGCGTTCTGTTTGCGGACGCGGAGCGGTGGCGCTATTGGCGGGAAATTGCAGGCTATCCCGCGCTTTCTGTTCGTGGATGCCGATCGCCCACGTGGCGCCACGTGGCGCGACGACGACCGACGCGCTATTGATTGACGGGACATTGCCGGCTATCCCGCGCTTTCTGTTTGTGGATGCCGATCTCCCACTTGGCGCCACGTGGCGCGACGACCACCGACGACCGACGACCGACATCGTCGTTGTAACGGCGATTTGCCACGTGGCAGGTCATCATGACGATGATGATGATGATGATGATGAAGACTCGGTGTGCGAGCAGGAGGGTTTTGATCGGGCAGGGTTCTAATCAGTTTGCCAGAAGTAATTGGTTGTGGAGGTGGTCCTCCACGTCCTCCTGCAGTGAGCTGCCTCCTCCTTTTTGTACGGATGGATGCCCTCACTCCTCATTGGCGATGGTGGCTGTTGATGACTCTGGAGCAATCTCCTCGTCGTCGCCCTCCTTATCGTTGCCGCTGGTGCAGCCGCGTGGCACTGGCAGATCGATTGCCACGTGGCTCTCATGGAGCCCGGGGAAACGTTTCGCCGGCTATGGCCGTCAATCAGAGGCAGAGTGGAAATCATCAACGTCTGCCACGTGGCAGTCGCGGGCGATCGTCGATTACCACTCGAGAAGAAGATCCACGCCGTCGGGATTAACGGCCACGTGGCAGCAGGCAAAGCGCGCCAATGTCGTCGATGGCACACGTGGGATGACCAAATTCGCCTCTGGGTTTTCTTATCCGGCGCCGAAACGTCTGGAGTCGATCATGAATCTGGACACCTTTGCCCATGCCACTCCTGAACAAATCACAAGAATATGGAATGACGTAAGTGTGTGTAACAATCAGCTCTCCCTTTACCCGAATAGAACGATCGGTCGTTATCGCTGCATCTGGACTGAAAATTGGCCCAAATACAGCTGTAATGACCCCAGCGTTCTATTTGGGTGAAGGCTGTGAAGTCGGTAATCAGGTGTGTGATGATATGTCTCTGTTTTTTTTGTATTTTTGGTCCATTTTTTTCTTCTTTATAGCATACTATGCTTTCGTTTTTGTTTTTTGCCCCTTCACCCGTCTTTTTTTTTTTTTTTTTTTTTTTTTCCCTTCACCCTTTTTTTTTTTTTTTTTTTTTTTTTTTTGGCGATCCGCTATGTGTGTAAGCCATGGCAAGATGATCGTCTCCATTTAAGTATTTATTTATTTAGTTATTTATTTATGTCTCTCTTTCTCACTCTAATTATAGTCCATTAGTGGTTTCTAATCATCAACGGTTACGGGTTGTTCTCTCTTCCCCCAATTGCTGTAATGCCGTCTAGATGCATGTGGGATACTCACGTACATCTTCCCCGAATTACTCGTTGATTACCTTCCAATTGTTTTCTCTGACCCAATTAATTCCATCATCAAGTGGTTGATGATGACGTGTCAATCATGGCGTCATGGCCCTTCAAGTATTTGCTGACGTGGCACAAATGTAGGTAGATATTCACGGTCTTATTTTTAAGTGGGCGCTTATGCGACTTACGTGAAATGAAAAGCAGCGCTCTCCTCAGGGCATGAGCCCTCCCAATTGTATTTGCCTGAACCTTTTACCTAATCACGCCCAAATTCAGTCGATACATAAAGTCGCCGTGTGAGCATTCTCTTGCACTTTCAGATACACACACACACACACACACACACACACACACACACACACACACACACAAACGCACACACAGAGAGAGAGAGAGAGAGAGAGAGAGAGAGAGAGAGAGGATTTTCAATTATAGTAAAATATGATGAGGAAGTAAATGTAGGCGTGTATATATATCCCTCTCTGCCTACGGTTTACTAGGCAGTTCTGTTTGACGATATATACATATAGTCAAATATGTATATTTGTGTTTATATACCTTGAGGGCAATGGTTGGTGGTCCCCACCACCTCAGAGGGGTATCAGTTGTCGGGCAGTCGTTGATGCTTAAGCACGACCGACCGCGGTTAAGGTGGGTAGATTATCATTTACAGTGTAATCAGTCAGTTAACGGGGCTTAGGGGGGGATTCTGCAGACTGTAGAGGGTTTCGCCTTCTCCTGATGAGTCAGTCGGTGAAACTCCGATGAACCACCAGCTTGTCACAGCTCCCCTCGTTTGTTGTCCTCTTCTCCCTTCTCCCTTCTCCCTTCTCCCTCTCTGCCACCTACGGTTTATCGTAGGCAGCTCTGTTTGATGATATAATATAAATTGGGCAGTTCTCTATGTCGATTTTATTACAGAATAAAATATACAGAATTTTATTGTATTAAAATTGAGCAGTTCTCTATGGCGATTTTATTACAGAATAAAAAATATACATGCATATCGATGATGGTGTTTTACATTATTAATTTATTATTTTGCGTTGGATTTAWYKAWCAGKCGCGWAGYGAACATMAAAAAKTTAAARGCATGAGYWYTTTATATTKTWTTGTACTGCWTWWTTTGCATTTTATGAATCTCGGCGTGTCTGACTTGTGTACTYGTYYTTTTTTTTTTTTTTTTTTTTTCCTTYTTTTGCTTGCTTACTCGTATCTGTCATCTTGTGCTCCCCCCCCCAAAAAAATAAAAATAAAAAATTCCAGCATCATATTGGCAGGGGCCATATCAGCGGTGTGATGTCGGGGGCAATATATGATGTTTTCCTCCAAAGAGCGCAAGAGTGGTAAGGATCTGTTCTTTGTCTCTACCTTGTTTTTTTTTTAAATAATTCTCTACCCTTATCAGTGTACATTGTACATTATCCTTTCCTTTTTTTTCCCTTTCTTCCTCCCTCTTCCTCCCCTTCTAATTCTTCCTCCTCTTTCCTCTTCTTCTTCCTCCTCTTCCCTCTTCTTCCTCCTCTTCCCTCTTCTTCCCCCTCGTCCCTCTTCTTCCTCCTCTTGCCTCTTCTTCCTCCTCTTCCCTCTTCTTCCTCCTCCTCTCTCGCCTCCCCTCCTCCTCGTCCTTTCTCTTCTTTTTCCTCCTCCATTCTTTCCCCTCCCCTATTCTTCCTCTTCCCTCTTTCCCTCTTTCCTTCTTCTTCCTCCTCTTCCCTCTTTCCCTCTTCTTCCTCCTCTTCCCTCTTCTTCTTCCTCCTCTTCCCTCTTCTTCTTCCTCCTCTTCCCTCTTCATTCCTCCTCCTCTCCCGCCTCCCCCTTCTCCTCCTCCTCGGGTTTCTTTTTCTTCTTCTTCTTTTTCCTCCTCCATTCTTTCCCCTCTCCTCTTCCTCCTCTTCCTCCTCTTCTGCTTACTTCTCTTCCTCCTCTTCTGCTTACTTCTCTTCCTCCTCATCCTCCTAAGTGGGAGGGGGTGTTTGATTCTTTCAATTGGCTTGTGGACGCAATTCTTGCTAACGTAGCTGTGTGATGAAAACAGTTGCGGGAAAGGAAAATCACTCAAACAAATGCCGTTTAGCTTAACTTCTAGTTGAAAAAAGGCCGGACAAAATTCTGCAGGGCTTACCTTACCCAAAAAAAAAAAGAAAAAAAACTGACCAAAAAAGAAAAAAGAAAAAAAAAAGCACAGGTTGGAACCTCGAGCAAGCTTTGGGAAATTGTGCTGTGGCCTGCCTAATTTTTATCTTTTCTGTCTACTCAGTCTATGTATGTATGGGCCTCGCTCCACACTCACCAAATGTGCAAACTTTGAATGAATCTTCCACCAGAATATGGGAAGGTGCACAGCCCATATTGCGTTTTTTGTGCCTGTGGAGGCCTCACTCCACTACTCTCCACATGCACTAAAGACAAAAAATATGGCGGTGAGTCTTGCCACATTCTTTTTTTTTTTTTTTGGGAAGTTGT